CTACTTGGGACCCCTTTTTTCATTAATTTCGGACCTTTTTTTAATTGCTCTGAGAGGGGGCAAGTTGAACAATATTGGGCGTCGATCACCCAACTCACTGCGCGTCGTATAGACGGCGTCTGCAAGACGAAAGCAGGCGCTGAGCACACAATGTCACACAGTCATGCTTCGCGGCAACTTTGTCTACTTAACTGGTTGATTCATCTTAAAAACGTTGGTCTTATGAAGACTGATTGGAGTACATTTTGATAACTGCAACCTCTTGGAGGATGCTGAGCGGGCAAAGTCCGATGTGGGGTGTTCTTAAGACATTTCGCCACAAACCATTTGTGACAGGATCCAGCAAATCGGGGTTTAAGGTCATTTTGTTTCACTCACTAGGTTTTCATTTGCTGTGAAGAGAGCATACTCTTCTTTTTGTTTTGCACTCAGTTTGACATCTTCCTAAATGCAGACATTTTATTGGTAAAAATAATGACTGTTTCCTTTGATTTCCTCAGTGTAAGATTAGCCCTGGCGATTTGTGACTCACTCTGTTTGTTTAGGACACATTTTTGCACTCTAAACCGCTTGTGCGTTCGGTACGAATAGCCCGAAGTATATAAAGCACGCGACTTTTATCAAGATTTTCAATCTATCTTGATAAAAGTACCGATGTCTTATAATTGACTACCTATACCAGTCATCGCCACCATAAATGTCTTGACTGTTTACATAGGTGAGTGAAGGCTGTGCGAGTGAATGTGATTTTGTTTAAGATGGATTGTTGCAATTATCTCAAGACAAATGGGCATGTTGACAAACACATATTGGGGTGTGTGAACAACAAGAGAACATGCCTTGGGTTGTTTGTTCTCTTTAAATTTATGTTTGCTGTCAAAGTAATTAATGAGCCCCAAACAAAAGGCGGTGACAGTCATTTTCAGCGGGAGCCAATGGCGCGCAATTTCCGATCACCGTTCCAGCCTGTCTTTTTGCAGAAGCCGGCTGATCGTGACAAAACTGCACGTCGGCGAGAAGGTGGGAGATTCTGAAAAAAAGGCAGTTATCTCTCGTTCATTAAAGTGCATCTTTCATAACAAACGCAAGGAGGTATTTGAAGTACGTGCCCACAACAACGTGTATTTTGAAACAACTGTTTGAACCAGATCTGCTGTGAATATAGAATAATGCCGGTTCGTTCTGTAATGCGACGATATTAGTTGATTTCCAAGAAAATTGAATGTAATAAGCTGATTTGTAGTTCTTACTCTTGTTTTTGTCACCGAGTTTTTTGCCAAGGCGCTTATGGAAACTTCCCGGTTCGTTACAAACGTGAATGAAGAACTCAATTTAAAATTCGTATTTAAACAATACGACGGGACGGCCAAGGCGTCAAAGTGACGTTACAACAAACTCATAAAGTGTGACGTACAAATTATTTGTTTTTCTTATAACTGAGGACGGTTGATGCTCCACCTGTCGGAACATCATAATTGATTCGCGATCCCATTCTTAAAGGTACGAACAATCCCCTTGGCTCAGTGGTAAATGAACCGCACCTAGCGAAAGGTGAGTGCTATCCGGAAGCATTTTTACCATTGCCCATTGTTGTTGAGAGCTTTTGTTCTTGAAGAACCCTAACCCTCATCTAACCCTAACTCTAACCCTAACCCCAACCCTAACCCCAACCCTAACCCTAATCCCAGTAACCAGAGTTGGCGCTCTTCTATTTTAGAATTTAAAAAATGGACAGCCAAAATGGACCTATGTGGTTCCCACCCCCCCCCCCCGTTCCCGAACCCCGCCCAACCTGTGCTCTCCTCGGCTAGCTTTGAGCGTTCACATCTGAAGATTTCAGATGCAGCTCAAAATGTATCCATTTCATGTGGTTTGGAAAAAACATTAGTTTTAAAAGGAAATGATGCGCATCCGTTTTTGGACATTTTTTCTTCTGTCCTTGGTAAGAACCCACAACTTTCTGAAATCGAATTAAATTGTTCAGAAAAGAGCCGATTAAAAAGCTAAATACCCTTTTCCTCATTTTTATTTTGTGTTGTGTGGAATTGGATTAGATATTGTGTTGCATCTGAACTATTTATAATTTATTTACTGTTTGCAGCTTTGCGGCATCAAATTATGTCAAATAATCAGGACTCATGCCAGCAACAATTACTTAAAATAAATTGTTTCACCAAAACAAAATTACATAAAAACACGAGTGGAACGAGCTCCACCTTCAAAATCACTCGCCTGGAGAAAATCAAATGACGTCAGAAAACCTACTTGTTGTTTTCATACTGCGGGGAAAGGAACAAATTAAGAAGGATGAGGAGGCCAACAAGTAACGATCGACCAAGGAACCGTCTCGTTCATCTTCGACTTTTCCAAGCAACCATTTCTTCCGTGCCCCCAGTATCGATTCTAAATCAGGTGACGAAAATCGACGCTTTTGTAAAAAAAGGACAAAAAACATGAAAATCGACGCAGGTTGTATACAACCGGAAAGAATATTCCGTTGAATGGTTAATATTTATCTTTGCATAGATTTCGGCAAGCATACACGAAGAGTACGAGCACGGAAGCCTTATTCCGTGAAATGCAGTGGTGTATCCGGGTTTCTTGATTCAGAACAGGGGGAGTTTAAAATGGCTACTCTTATGAAAACCGGCCCGAATTCAAAAATCGGGGAAGGGATATAATAACAGCGGTTGTGAGGTGGTTCTGGCGCATCAATTTATAAAAGAAACTAATCAAAGTAACTTTGGTAAAATGACGCAATGAGGCAGTTGCCTCCCTTGCATCTCCCCTTTGGATACGTCAATAACGAAACGTCCAATCGCAGGGTAATGAAAAGCGCTTGTGAAATTAGAAAAAACTTAAGTCGCTGTTCTAGTTGTCTAGTCTTCAGGTCTAAAGATTGTACATTGAATACGCACCTGCCGCAAGGGGGCGTTATCAGAAACGAATCACTATCATCCGCGAACCGCTCTCGGGTGATAATCGGTTCGTTTAAAAACGCCCTCTGTCGACGGGTGATTGCGCTTCCAAAATACAACAACGTCAAGACCCAAGACGATAATGTCAGGCGTCGCGGGCGTGTCTGTTGTTTATTTACAGCAGCATAGACAATATAGTGCGAGGCTTCACCTCTGGGGATCACCCCCAAACCATGGACGTCGCAGGGGGGGGGGGGGGGCAAGGGGGCACTACCCCCCCCCCCCTCCCCGGAAAACGAAAATTTAAAAAAAAAGAGGGGAGGGAAACAAGGGGGGGGGGGGAAGGAGAGAATTCCCGAGCATACCTCACGCGCTTTATACATGCACGCATGTTGCCTACACTCGGACTTCTTGGGTTCGAGTGACAAAGTTCCCAGTAGTGGACTTGATTCATCTTGTTGACAGCGCCCCCTACCGCCGCGGCGGCTTAACGGCGCTTGCCAGGGATAGGGACCGGATGCTTTGGGGGAAAAAAATCCAGTCTTGTGCCAAGACTGTACAGCTCCACCGCTCGTGCCAAGACTATACAGCTCCACCGCTCGTGCCAAGACTATACAGCTCCACCGCTCGTGCCAAGACTATACAGCTCCACCGCTCGTGCCAAGACTATACAGCTCCACCGCTCGTGCCAAGACTACACAGCTCAGTTCGACCTCTGGTATTTTGCTGCAATGTGTCGTGGAAGGGCATTATTTGCACTCGGTGAGTGACGTAGTCACAGGAAGACGGGACTGAATTTCTCAAAGCTAGTGGAGCATACAAATCAATATTGACCGGCACAAAGACGGGCTTATCTGATTGTTTGGTTCGATCGCTTACGTCTTCGAACATTTTGTCCTCTTTAAACATTGCTACAATACTCTGAGCAATGGAATGTTTACCAATGAGTTTAGAGGAATACGAAGATGGATCCGTTTTTTACCCAGTTACAAAGCTAAAACTTTAAACCAACAAGATTTTTTTTAAGTCAATGGTTTTAACCAAACGTAAATTTCCCGTCAGAGTTGTTTTTAGGCGTTCCATTCGAAGGCGTTTGCGGTACGACTGTATTTTTTTGAGCAAATGTATCCATGGAGATACAAGTTACCTTTTATACATTTTATATAATTGTTAGCTTTTATAGAATTGTTATTGGCAAGACAAATGTTTGACAACTGTCATGCTTTGAGATGCGTTTCGTGGCCGCCTCGAAGCCTTGTTCATACTTGGGGTTACACATCACAATCGCAATAACTATTTCAAAGGAAAAAATGTGAAGGCTCACGCACCAAAAAATAAAATAGACAAATAAAACTCACAAGACTTACGTTACCTTGGTGACAGGTTGGTAAAGGTAAACAAATTAAGAAACAGAAAGGATCTTGTCTAAGATTGAAGTCAACAGGGCCATATTTGGGCCTTGGGAAGAGCTCTGCATGTCGTCTTGGTTTTCGGACCATTAGTGGAACATGTCAGAGTGTATCTTTTCACCGTTGTTACCTATCATTTGTGTTTCTCTGGAGACGAGGTCAGGTGCGCAATGGTACGTCCTTGCACAGAGTAATTTGCCAGTGATTAGGGAAGGACTCTACCTCGTTCCCAGGGTCTACTTTTAATCTGGATACAAAGGCAGACCCTGGGATAGTAACTTGCTTCCTGTACTCTGATTCGATCGCACAGTAGCGAGTAAGCTGTACCGTGTGTACTGGAGGACACTGCCAGGGGTGAAAATAACACAAAGGGTATTACGTGTTATAAGGTTGATTGTGATCGGCGGTTGAATCGCCTCACCAACTATTTCCCCTTGTCCACTTTGCCACACTGTTATCATATTCAGTGTAAAAACTTCATCATGTTGCATTGGATGGTTAAGATTATAACATTGCCAGGGTGAGAGAGAGCAGCTAATGGTAGCGTTCTGCTCGACGCGATGGGGACGAGGTTGGGAGGGATTAGTCTGCTGGGGAGTCGTGTACGTCATATGCGGATGCACACCAACAAGAGGATAAAAACCCGCCGACCTTCCCTGTGTTAAGACTGGTTACGTAAGTCTCCAAAAGAAAGCCTGGTGGATATAAAGGGAAAATTAAGCCGACTGCCTCAGATGATTGTGAGATTACTAAGGGAGAGACTGGCTCAGAAAGCTACCGTTGTGTGCGCACTTAGCACCCACGGAAACACATTTTTATTTCCCAGAGGCAAACTTTTGGAACATCGCTGTTGAGTGCAAGGTGAGTGGTTTCCATCAGTTTATAATCGGGCCTTCACTAAGTGTTGTTCCATGAGACTTATTTTGTGTCAGCATAATGATTTTTGAGATATGGTATTAATGTATGCAACAGACCGAGTGTTCTTTTTCTCTAAAAGATACATGAAAGACACCGATGGAAGCAAAGTAGCTAGTGTACACGCTACGCTCATAAAACTAGTTCATTTCGTCGAAGTGATTTTGATTTGTTTTGTGTTTCGATTTGCGTTTTCTTTTCTGTGTTTGTGTGATTGGTTGGCCTATTTTCGTCTTAATAGGTCATTTCTCAGTTCAATCAGAACATCTAGATGAGATGTTGGTATCGTCAATTTCAAAAGAAATGTTCATTGTACAACTAAAATGAAAGAACCAAATTTTCTTCTTGTCTCTGAAATAGGGATTAACACCATTTAGACATAACTTTAGAACAATTAGGTGACGTCAAAATGTGGCTATGTTTTTAGACTCGACCTTTCGTGGGAACATGGTGAACATGCTAGAGCAAACAATCACAATTCCATTCCAATTATTTGCGAGTCTTGCTCTGAAAGAGAAAATCGTTCTTCATTCAGGCGATATCGATCTCATCGATTCTGATATGTTCCTCTTGAATATACACTCTTTGAAAATGGTGATACCATAGAGCGAGGAGTTCCTTGCATAGAGCAAGGCGTTTCTTGCTATATGGTGATACAGAAGTGCTTGTCAGTAGATGAGAATTCTTCATACATGTATATAAATTACCATCTTCCTCGCGTGACAAACAACTCAAAAGTTTACTTCAACACGGGCGGAAATTCGCACTGAGTTACACTGTAAAAACTGACTGCACCTAATGCACCTGTGCACTAGCACATTTTGTCCCAAAATCATGAACACTTGAGGCTCTTGACAGGAACCCGAGGTAGTTGAGCCTATATGTTTGCAACAACACAAAAGTGAAGCTCAAGTGCATGAGGTGTTAGGAAGTTGCCAGTTACGTATCACATGGTGTACTTGAAGCACCTGGGGTGACAGTCGGCTTAACCTCAGGTGTGTTTCATTCAACGTTGACTCTTCACGTACATCAACTTGTTCGATTCACGTGCATGACGCGGAGTCACTTTTTACCGAACCCAAAACCGACACTTTCTGACGATTAGGCCAAAAAAAAAAAGTCTCCGGTTTCTGGTATGGAGCTGGCCCCTAAAGTGGTGCGGCGACGCGGCTTTTTTTTTTTTTTTTACCTGTTTTTTTTTTTTTGGCTTCAAATGTCGGCTGATGACGGCAAATGGTGCCCGACTAAACTTAGTGCAAATATATGGGAGTCCAGAGAGGCCACATAAAGCTTATTCTCGATCATAACCCTATCTAAAAACACGTTAAAATTGTGCAGCAGCAGAATTCCAGTCAAACCAGTGAGTTTGGTGGTTTTGAGACATCATCTTGTATTGAAAAAAAAAACTTTTTCATTTTGCCGACGCGCATGGCTACGGTGACGCGCGCGCATACCAGAAACCGGAGACTTTTTTTTTTGGCCTTAGGGGCCTAGTGGCTATCGAATCAAAATAAAACTCATATTTCATGTACATGTATATTCACCACCTATATTTATTGTACGTTAAGACCAGGCGCGGTTCTAGAACCAATATTTGGGGTGGGGGGGGGGGCTAGCACGGTCGATCCAGAATTTTTTTCAGGGAGGCGTGCTGAAATGTAGACCAGTTATTTTTTCCAGACACTTAGGCCACCGAAAATCAATAGGTTGGGGGGGGGGTCACGACTATTTCTTCTTTAGGGGGAGACCGTTCGCATGTACATCACAATCCTTCTTTTTGCTACTGCATTTTGTTTTTTACGGAATTTATTTTGGGGGGGCTAGACAAAATTTTGGAGGGGCTACAGCCCCCTAGCCCCCCCCCCCCCCCCCGTAGAACCGCGCCTGGTTAAGACACTATGAATCTGTTAAGAAAAGTAAACACAATCACACAGCATTAATCACCCTGTCTTTTTCAAAGTAAAATACTGTTATTCAATTTTGTTTACAGACAAACTTTTGTGACGCCGCTCTTACGTAAGTTGTAGAGCAGAACAATGTTAACTTCTTTGCTCTGATGTAACATCATACATGAATATTACTTGGACATTACCTAAAACCAACTAAGAATTGTAAAGGACACACAACAAAATGGACATATAAAAAAAAATTGAGGTTATAAACAATCGCATATGAGTTTAGGGAAAGGATGAGTTGAGGGAAAGGACAGTGACAAAAACGTTGAAAACAGTATAACAGGGAATGGTGAATTATCCGATATAACAATAATGAGCAATAACAAAGGAAAGGTATGCGATAATTAATACGCATTCTGCAGTCTCTTGGTGTATGGTCTACATACATATCTCTCTTGTAGCCTTCGCAACTTGCCAGTAAACGAAAATGAAAGTATCATTCGAGCGACGGTGAATCACCGGTATTGCGCTTCTTCGAATTAAATGCCGGATTTTCGTTTACATAATGAATGGCTCAAACTCTAAATTGAAAGTGTTGCCTTAAAAAATTGCAAGTCTGAAAACTAAGTTGAGCAAACAATAATTAGAGACCACGAACAAAATCAGTAAGGAGTGAAGACATGAAGAATGGTCGATAACAAAGCTGCATATAAATTCATAACTTGAATATTCAATAGGAGATCAATTTTATTGACCCGAAATGTTTACCGTCTGGTGATGAAGAACCTGCTATAAAATAACATTTGAGGACGAGATATTGAACAGAATCGGAATCACTCTCCCATCACATGTTACAATCAACATTCCCACAGCCTTGTAGCCAGACATCACTTCGTCATTGCCGGAGGGAACCAGACAGAAACAGTAGAAACCAGTTTAACTAACCGGATTACCCAACACGGCTATAGCTCTTTGTTCGACGATAACTGCATTCAATCAATGCATTTGATTGGCATTACAATTTGACTATAATCCAGATAGTACATGTACACATTGTCACCGCCAGCTTTCGCAAGTCGACGTATTTATTTCAATTTTATTGCAACTAAGGCCTATCGCCATCATGTATTAAACAAATCGCAATGTAAATTAGGGTTTAGACAAGTTACGCGAATGAGATTGCGAAGCGATGACATTAGGAAGCATGTGTTAAACTTGTTTTTGCTGTGACGTCATAAATTCGTGTCGTCGTTCGCCTTCGCGCCAAGAATATGAACCGCGCCTTAACATCGTGGTTCTTTGGGTTCTTCATGTCGCAGAAAAGTTGCGATCATTTTGGCGTATCGAAGCTTTGGGTGGGGGGAGCAAAATGCTTGCTGTACCCGTGAAATTGTTTACATACAGCAGTCCGTATATAGTGATATAAGCTTCTTTTGCATGCACTTTCAAGGCCCATCTGATTCAAGACCGAAAATTGTAAGCCCAAAATCGAAGACAGGTCGAAAACAGGCTATATTATACGCAGACTAATGACCCGTCTCTTCTGTATAAAAAAAGGCATTGGAAACGGATAAAGGGACACAAACTGACAGCATCAGGCGAAGGACAGGAAAACAGGGGCATTGTGAGCGGCTTATTTACGCCTTTAGTTCCTGAAGGAAGCCGAAGAAGACCATGAGCATATCAAAGATTCGGTTAGTCTCTAATTGAGCCGAAGCGATACGTCACGGAATGCATTTTTTTTTAACCAATCAATTTGACTTGTTAAATGTTCATTAATAAGGAAGTGGGACTTCTGGGCTGATAAGAATAATCCATACATTAACTACATTGGACCTGCTTGGTCAAAGATTCAGTTGATGACATTGTCCATGCATGAACTCAATGGGTGGCTTGTGCGTAAAGTGCTCGCCTCTCACCAAGGTGACCACGGTTCGAATCCGTTGGTTCTCCCCTGTGCCACGAGGATTTTTCTCCGGGCCCTCCGGTTTTTCTCCCTCCGGAAAAATCAAACACTTTCGATCTCAGGCTGTGCTCCGTGGTCATATATGGGTCGATGTGGCCGGCAGCCATAGGCGCCTTTACGTGCCAGCGGCCCGACCACGTTGTAGCCGCGTCCTTCGCAATTCAGCATACCAGCTGCGAGTAAGGATGATTAGCCTCCCAAATTAGTATTATTTTTTTTATAATGAGTGAGTTAGTCAGATAGACATTCAATCAGCTACGCATTCAGTAAGAGTACGCTGGCCTCTGCTGGTCGGACAAAAAAGTAACAATCCAATCTTTGGTCTACTATTGTACGGTAATCGAAGGTAGGCCCTGGGAACGAGGTTGCTCACAAGGATGCTCTTACAATAAAAAGAAATAACTTATACCCAGTGAGACAGTCGATCAGTGACTCGGTCAGAAGAAAACAGGCTAGCCCTGTGGTCCGTTAAAAGACGAAAACAAGGCCCTCGGATAATGGATTTAAATATTTGCGCCTGGTGGTCTAGTTTAATATAACCCCGTGCTCATTTAAGTGATGGTCGTAAACAGGCACGTTTTCAAAAGTCCAAAGACTACCGGTAACTTTTGATGTGGTTTGATTGAAGGCTACATTGATAGCTGCAGGGAATGCGAAACAATACCTATTTTCTTTTCAGGTACTTAAGCCCCAACATCACCGTTCTTTCCAACCTCCCAAGAAGCCGCAAACGGGTGTTGATGAGGTGTTATATTTTGATTATGAAAACGGTTATGGCCCCCAAAGAGTTTCAATTTCATTTTCAATTAAAGTCAATGTATGTAACAGAGTACAGTCAATTACTGTATGTTTAAATCGATGCTACTCATCCCTTTTCCCTCTACGGATTCATGAAATAGTTAAAGAAAGAAAAATAGACAAAGAGAGCCTCAAAGCATCAAATAAGCCCTCGCCTTAGCACAATTACATAATTGCAGAAATTGGACGACCTTGTGGTATCGCATGACAGCTAAACAATGGCAAATTTTAAAGAGCTGCTAAGCACAGACAATCTTTGCTCAGCCGAAACAGGTTACCAGCCAAAGTGCCATGCAATTAATATTGCTTATGGCTGGTACTATGCTGGTGTTTGCTATACGTGCCTTAATTTACTGTTAAACGTTTCTGCTATTGGCTTCATACAATAATTGTACCTATATATGGACCACGAGTAGTGGCCATCTACAATGTGTCGAGTAACAATTTAGCAATTTATTTATTTTAAGCCTGGTGCCTTGAAATGGACTTATACCTTTTTCTTTAAAAAAAAATAGAACCTTTATTTCGCGTTTTAAGTACTAGGCTGGTCTGTATCTAAGAAGACTAAAGTGATCCTTATTTTTTTTTACAGGTTGCAGACAAAGCAAAACAGCCGTCGACATGAAGGCACAGCTAGCACTTCTTCTAGCCCTGGCCGCAACCGGCTACTGTTATCGTGAGTATACGATATCCGTGTCTTTTGGCATATAGGAAATGTACACATGTATTCATTTCATAGTTTCGCCTTTAATAACTTGTGGATGGAGGTGTGGACTAGTTCAAGTCTAAAGATCAGACCACGGTCTACAGTAGCGTATCCAGCTTTTCGTGCCGGGGGGGGGGGGGGGGGGGCAACGACGTCTGAACCGTCTTACCGAACTTCTTACAATAATTTTAATTTTTGTTTTATGATCGACGCCATCAGTTGCCCCTTGCCTCCCTTCCCCGCTGGATACGACACTGACGGTCTGCAAATTGCATTTTGTGACCAAGTCTTGACGCCGATTTAAACCGACAATAAAGCTGTAGGCCCTTTCTAAACTGCGTTTCGTCATTGTGTTTGAAAATGTTTTAAATTGGACACATAATAGGGGCCTAATACACTTTGGGTGGCGCCTTGGCCTGTCGCCAACCTACATTACGTCACATTATAGCACTGTCTAAATATTAATCGAGGGAGGCAGTTACGTTCGTATTTGTAAACTGTAGACAAAGCCATATCAAGAACAACAAGGAGTACAAATCACAATATGGTACGGCAAGCGTTTTTACAAATAGAGGAAAACGCCTTCAAGCTAAAAGGTGGTTTTCGGTCGCCGGAAAATCAAAGTATTCAAAGATTGTGTCAAGCGTGTGCTAGTTATGCAAACGTATCATCGCTAATCTGTTGGTACATCCCCCACCCACGTAATTCTGTCTGATCCTTTCAGGTTTTGTGTCCAAAAAAAAGTTGCGGGGGAGTTCTGCAAACAGTTTATTTAACCCCCGGTCTCTTTCATTTTTGCCGCTTGACAATTGAAGTAAAGCTTGGGCGACAGGCTGCAAATTTCTCTAACCTATCTACTCAAGATGTCAAGACCTTGGTGATCCGGGAAACAAGTGGCTTCACAAACTTTCCCTACAGCATACGTCCTCAACAAAAACAAAAACGAGCTCGGAAATTTACAACAGAGGGCGCTGTACAGCAGGGGTAAAGCAGGCCGCCGCAGAGGGCGTGTTTTTAGTCGATGAGCGCAGCCGTTTTAAGACTGAATTTTGGCAAAATATCACCCATTAGTTCTCAGAATCTCATTGACATCTTTCTTGGTTTCACAGCCTCCAGGGAGACGCGATCTGCCGACTCAGCCTGTAACCCCAACCCCTGCTTCAATGGAGGCATCTGTATGGACATGGGCGGTTTGTTCATATGCGTCTGTGAACCCGAATACCTCGGAATGCGCTGTGAAACTCGTGAAACCCCCGGTAAGATAGTTCAATTACCGAATGGTACATGGTTAAATAACAATTTAGATGTTTATCTTGTACTTCATAAATTAAATTCTAAAGTCTTAACCGCTTTCTTCATGCATTACAATTGTGTGTTTTTTTAGAAAATGGAACGTAAATCTCTGAATGAACGTAGTTAGAGAAATCAAAGGCGTTTATCAGACACAAATTCGAGGCATAGGCCTAAATGGTCTCATTTCTATCTAGATGCTTGCGAATCAAAAAAAAATGTGAAATGTTCAGTTTCGTGAGCCAAAATAATGCAGCCAACCCAAATGGAATAGTATTGTCCTTTAATTGGTTAAAACATTCACCCAGAGAAATTTTAGCTTTATACATGAACATTACTGCATGCATAAAGATATGAAGGTGATTAGCGATGCGAACTCCATTACCCTTTTGAGATAAAAGGTGGGCGTTATTTGAAGAGGGTAAGTTACTAAGGTACCCTAATCAAATAGTATCCCTCCACCACATCTTGTAAATGCTAATACACTGACCAGAGGATCATTTGCTGGATGGTATCTAAGCTGACAATGACCAACATTTATCATAACAGTGGCCTTGGAGGAGGAGGATCCATGTGCGACCAATCCTTGTCTTAATGGCGGACTGTGTTACCGTCAGGATCGTCATGGGACGAATCATAGACAGTTCTACTGCGTCTGTAATGGAGAATTTACCGGCAACTTGTGTGGTATGTCGAGGCCTTTGGATTACTTTCTGGTGCACGTTTGCACTACTACATGTAGATGTTTTAGTCAGCATTTGATTCGAAAATAGACACTGATTCCTTGTTCGTCTTCACACTCGTCTTCTGAATGCACACTCGTCTTCTGTAGTTTCTTGGCCTATTGGTAAAACCTGTAAGTTGCATTTCAACATCTTCAGTGAAACCACAAGTAATATCATGAACATGAAGTCCGTTTTTGGTTTACAATAAATGATTGTCGTTATTTTAAAAATAGATATAATCAGCAGTTTCTAATCGTAACTGAATCGTTTCATGGCAGACTTCATTGCCTGAGGCGAGAACCGTGAGTCCTGTTTGTATGCAAATTTGTCATGTAGATATTGTAATCCAACAGTTTAATGCGTTCCAATTGTCGTCATTCAAGACAAACACTATAGTACATGTATACATTATCTATCCTTCACGTTGTTATCCTTTCTTTTACTGTTTTGTTTAACCAGATGCCCAACTACTGACGTCTGCTGCATGTGATGGTAATCCGTGCCAAAATGGCGGTGTATGCTACCCTAAGGCGGACTCGGCGTCTGGCTACGCTTGCCGGTGTATCGACTCTTATGGTGGAGCCAATTGCCAAATGCGTAAGGACATGTAGATTATATTCAATGTACATTGTAGTCAGTTCGCAGTATGCTTTGGTGAACTGTTTTTGTGTGTGTGTGGAAGGCTCTGTTTGAGAATAACATTCACAACCAGTGACGACATTATGGTAATAACATTTGAATATACATGTGCTTGGACGATGCAATCTTGGCTGTTCCCAATGAGTGATTACCTTGATTGTTTTTAGTTGATGGAATATCTACATGAATCCGCTGTCGTCAGCCGCGTTATATTTGGCTTTTTCGTTGAATATGGTTTTTCTTCGCCTCGGTCCACACCCAAAACAATGTATTCATTGATGTATCTCTACTGAATGTATAGCGGCTAATTATATATGAAAAAAGATATTATATTTGTTGATCTTAATCCTGCATTTGTTTAATCCTTGCAGTACCATGTGATATGAATCCATGTCTGAACGGCGGCGAATGCTTCTCCGGGTATAGGAACAGAGGCGACTTCATGTGTAGATGCCCCAAAGGGTTTAAGGGTGAACACTGTGATGTCGGTGGTAAGTACAATTCCTTAAGTGACGTTCCTTTCCCCAACTCCTCTCCAAATTCTTGCATTTAAACGAACGGGGTCAACTTGTACAGACATAAATCTGGATATTATGAAATAACCCTTCACCGCGATGTAAAATTCTAGGCCCCCTCCCTCTCCCCACAAATAAAATCTGAATCGTTGATAACCATTGTGTGAATTAACTATTCGTTCAGTTGATAAGACCCACACCCATAGGGACCCATGAATTATGACGATTAAACACAGTTTTATCTGGTTTCTGGACCCGCGGATATCTCATGAATATTTTTAGAAGATCCCTGATGTGGTTGTTTACGATTACGTCACACGCTGAACGCGTAAATAGCTGGTTTTCATTGGTGGAAAGTTTTAACATTTCAATGGTATACTGAGACAGCGCGCATACCAAAAGCAACATTTTGCTCTTGAAGCTTCAATAAATGGGAAATATGGTATCAAACACTACCTTTAACCTCTGAAAGAGTCAACGCTTTGTTTGCCCATATGGGCTCATTTATATGCAAAACCAAGTGAATTAGATATTTCGATGAAGGTTTATATGTTTGTTTTTTCCACTTATGTTTTGAAGACCCATGCATGGATAACCCGTGTGGGGAAGGGAACATGTGCAAACCGGAGAGTGATGGCGGCTTCAACTGTATGTGTCCTTGTTCCCCTGGAAGCACATGCGTGAACCGACCCAATGGAGGTAGGTCCAAATTACACGCTTTCTTATTTTACCTGCTGGGACTGGGTCCATTTCATGGGACAGTTTAAATTTGCTCAGCAAGTTTATTAGTTATAAACAAAAATGGCTGAGAACCAGTATTATGCAGTATCCACACTGCATTACATTGTGATTGATAACACCTGTTTGAATACTGAACAGATATTCTGTTTGTGCTTAGCAATATTTGTGACATTGGCCCCCATCCACAAGCAAACTGTATCGCGTTTGGATGGTAACTTGTCAGGTAAACAAAAATGTGCCCAGTATAAATAAAATAATACGCTTAGCAAATTCATGAAATAGTTCCAAAATGAAAAGCCTTGAATCTGTATTGGCTATATGACTCATAGTGTTCAAGTCACAGCTTTGGAAAGCCAGTTTGAAGATTATACATGTACAGTGTTATCAACGAGTCACCAGACTTATTATCGAGTGACGACAGCCTGTGGGCGGCTTACAGAATGTCGACAACGGCTTCAGACTTGCCTTCCAGAGTCATGGCTATCTAGGATTGGGAGCAACTCAGATCGACCCAAAGAAATTCTGGTTGACTTTTGTAATCTTTTATCTCGTATTTGTTGATCAACAGGGGATGGAGAGGTAGATGGTGGAGATTCGGAAACGGGTACAGAAATACCAGATGGTGGTGAAACGGACAGCGGCTCGTCTGGTGGCAGCGGTGGCAGCAATAACAATGGTGGTGAGAATTCTATTCCACAGGTCGGTGGAGGAGCTGGTGGTAGCATGACAAGTCGATGCAATGTTATGATGAGACAAACTAATAGTTGTAACAACCATGGGTATTGTCACGAAGATGGGACTTCGGCAATATGTCGATGCTACTCTGGGTTCCGGGGAGTGACGTGTGCGCAGGTCGATCCAGGTAGTGGCTCGAATGGTGGATCGGATGGCTCTGGGTCCAGCGGTGGTTCCGGAGCTGGGACGGGAAGCGGTGGTGATGGTTCTGGTTCTGATAGTTCTGGATCCGGAGGTCAGACAGGAACTGGAGGTCAGACAGGAACGGGAGGCGGTAATACCGGTTCTGATGGGAGTCCTATTCCACAGGTCGGGGGAGGATCATCAACCGGTGACATGACAAGTACATGCAATGTCATGATGCGACAAACTAATAATTGCAACAACAATGGGTACTGCCATGAAGATGGCACCTCGGCAATATGTCGATGCTACTCTGGGTTCCGGGGAGTAACGTGTGCACAGGTTGATCCAGGCAGTGGCTCGAATGGTGGATCGGATAATTCTGGTTCAGGCGGTGGTTCCGGAACTGGGACGGAAAGCGGTGGTGATGGTTCTGGTAGCACTGACTCTGGTAGTTCTGGTTCCGGAGGTCAAACTGGAACTGGAAGCGGTGGTACAGGTTCTGGAAGTTCTGGTTCCGGCAGCGGCTCTGGTGGTCAGACTGGAACTACAAGACCATGCGTTGAAATGATGGGACAGACCAACTATTGCAATCGCCATGGGTACTGCGTTGAAGACGGCACGAGTGCTTTTTGTCGTTGTTACGAGGGGTACCGAGGTTCCACCTGTCAGCATGTTGATGATCCGAGTTCGGGAACTGGTTCGGATGGAGTTTCGGGTGGCGTTGATGTTGGGACTGGTAACTCCGGAGGTCAAGGAGATGGAAATGCCTTGCCTCAGGTTGGACAAGGATCTGGTACAGGTTCCGGTACATCCCAGGTGATTTCTGTACCGTGCGTGGTCATGATGAGTGAGACGAACAACTGCAGCAATAACCAAGGCTATTGCGTTGAGGATAATACCGGTGCAAAGTGTTACTGTCATGATGGGTTTGAAGGCGTGATCTGTAATCGACGCTCACAAGTTTGAGCTTAAAATCAGTCGGCGCGATATTTCAGAAATGAGCATAAGTAGTGTTCTCACTTCTCACTATATCATCCTTTTGAGAGAATATAAAAAACTTAGTTAAATCTGGGGTACGTTCTACTTACGCAAACACTGCTAACGTTTGCAACGTTTGTGCAGGAGGAACAACCGTGTTGGCAAATTGTTGGCGAACGTGAGCAACAAAGGCTAACAATTCTTCTCGAATCGCTTCTTCTTAATGGCTCTTTTCCCAAGATAAGTGACTTAAATGCAGTGAGCTGCCGGAGCTGCAATTTGCCATTTTCAACATCCAAACACTCTAATAATTTAATAACACCGGCGAAATTTTACTCGCAACCAAATTTTGAGCCATTGAAAATATCGTTTTTCCCGATGATAGTATCGTCCTAGCGGGTTGGCACGTTCGCATAACTATCGTTAACGCCAACGTTCGCGTGAGTAGAACGCACCCCTATATTGTAAAATCTAACATCTTGCATTCGTCAAAAACTTATTATGGCTGGAAAGTATCATTTACGTCAACAATTATTTTAAATGTAATGTGATTATGCATAGGTATGTATATGGTTATGCTACTATCTTCTGCCTGTTAGCAAGTTGATACTATACACACAATGTTGATAGAAGTTATGAAGTTAATACAAAAACTGCTAATCACGAACTTAAAAATTTTATATCCCGGTGACGGTGGATCTGAAGTAGTTTTAATTGAAACGCTAAAGGCAACTTCTTCTTCAGGGAAAACTGAAACTTTGTGTCCAAAGGGAAACGGGAAAGGAACTGATTTACATTTTTATTTCGAATTATTAAAGAAGGACAAACCCGGTATCCCATCCTACTTAATAGACTGGTCAGGCTTAAGGATTAAAGTAACCTTTTAACTTCTATTATCTTGTTGTGATTACAAACATTGTTAGCCGTACGCTTTATTACATTTACACAATGTATACAGTAAATGAAATCAGAATAGAGTTTTATGATTTTTTTTTTTAGATTTTTTAAGTTTTGTAATGCTGGACCATTTGTATATCATTCTAAAGGTCGAGTCTTTTTAATTCCTAACTTTTAGCGAGCTGAACCGAATTTTTATTTTATCGATGGACAACGTTCGCCCAAAAACATATGTTGTTTAAAGTCGTTGCCAAAATCCTTAGTGTGAAATTTCGCTTCGTGTTGATGTGACTATAAATACTAGGTTGTGCGCTACCAGAATCGTCCGAGAAACTTGCTTCGTTGGGTAGGACTCGAACCCACGACCTCCTGTTTACTGACTCAGATGTATTAATAATTGATCACTAGCTAGTACGGTACTCGCTGTACTATCGGAAGATCATCAGTACTTGTTAGGTCGTAAGTTCGAGTCTTGAAGAAGTAAGCCAGTGAAGTCTTTTTGCTTTGCTTTGTTGGCGTGTTTGTTTGTTTGTTTGTTTGTTTGTTTGTTTTCTGGCTCCCGAAAGCAATATACATCGTTTACCTTGTACCCTAATCTTCTATTCAAGAAATATCAATATGAATGTACCGTCACCATATTTTTATATTCCTATTTGCAAGAAAATAGACTCACTTTTTGTATGAAAATATATAGAGCAAAGTTCATAATGATACTTGTATGTTAAAGTGTGATAATAAAACTCTCGCACAAGAATATCTTTGTTATTATCAAAATTATTCGACTATCTGATCTGGTTTCAATTTCATCACGTCCAGTGGCGTACCCGGGATTAGGTTGGGGAGGGGGGGGTCCGGTTCAAAAAAATTGACGTTGGTGGCGCCACTTGCACCACTAGTATACTGCTCGAAAATAGGCCACATACATATGACCAAAGTGAAATTTCTTTGCCCGAAATTGAATAAATTGCAACGGGTTAGCCCTACATTTTTCATCAAATTTTGCCAAAAATGACTCTTCTCCAAACGACGCAGAAATGTCTATTGATGCATGGAGGGTATCATACAATATTCAGACTGCGATTATTTGGAAGATTTGGGCACAAATTATCGATCGATTGAGCAAAAAAATGATCTTATTTTTCACTGTTTTAGACCAAAGTTTTCCACGCATTGTTCCTGTCTAACTGCACATCTGTCCAGCAATCGAGTTGAAATGTCTTCTAAAGTCCCTCAGGAGTCTTTTCTGGAAGTTTGGCGCAATTATTTTTTTGGCTAAAATTGAAGAAATTTCAAGGGGTTAGCCTTACATTTTTCATCAAATTTGGCCAAAAAATGACTTTTCTCCAAACGACGCAGAAATGACTACTGATGCAAGAAGAGTATCATACAATATTCAGACTGCGATTATTTGGAAGATTTGGGCACAAATAATCGATTTATTGAGAAAAAAATGATCTTATTTTTCACTGTTTTTGACCCAATTATTCGACGCATTTTTCCTGTCTTACAGCACATATGGCCAGAAATCGAGTTGAAATGTCTTCTAGAGTCCCTCAGGTGTCTTTTCTGGAAGTTTGGCGCAATTTAATTTTTTGGCCAAAATTGAAAAAATTGCAAGGGATTAGCCTTACATTTTTCATCAAATTTGGCCAAAAAATGACTTTTCTCCAAACGACGCAGAAATGACAACTGATGCAAGGAGAGTATCATACAATATTCAGACTGCGATTATTTGGAAGATTTGGGCACAAATAATCGATTTATTGAGAAAAAAATGATCTTATTTTTCACTGTTTTTGACCCAATTTTTCGACGAATTTTTCCTGTCCAACAGTACATCTGTCCAGAAATCGAGTTGAAATGTCTTCTAGGGTCCCTCAGGTGTCTTTTCTGGAAGTTTGGCGCAATTTAATTTTTTGGCCAAAATTGAAAAAATTGCAAGGGGTTAGCCTTACATTTTTCATCAAATTTGGCCAAATAATGACTTTTCTCCAAACGACGCAGAAATGACTACTGATGCAAGGAGAGTATCATACAATATTCAGACTGCGATTATTTGGAAGATTTTGGCACAAATAATCGATTTATTGAGAAAAAAATGATCTTATTTTTCACTGTTTTTTGACCCAATTTTTCGACGCATTTTTCCTGTCTTACAGCACATATATCCAGAAATCGAGTTGAAATGTCTTCTAGAGTCCCTCAGGTGTCTTTTCTGGAAGTTTGGCGCAATTTATTTTTTTGGCCAAAATTGAAAAAAATTGCAAGGGGTTAGCCTTACATTTTTCATCAAATTTGGCCAAAAAATGACTTTTCTCCAAACGACGCAGAAATGACTACTGATGCAAGGGGAGTATCATACAATATTCAGACTGCGATTATTTGGAAGATTTGGGCACAAATAATCGATTTATTGAGAAAAAAATGATCTTATTTTTCACTGTTTTTGACCCAATTTTTCGACGAATTTTTTCTGTCCAACAGCACATCTGTCCAGAAATCGAGTTGAAATGTCTTGTAGGGTCCCTCAGGCGTCTTTTCTGGAAGTTTGGCGCAATTTAATTTTTTGGCCAAAATTGAAAAAATTTCAAGGGGTTAGCCTTACATTTTTCATCAAATTTGGCCAAAAAATGACTTTTCTCCAAACGACGCAGAAATGACTACTGATGCAAGGAGAGTATCATACAATATTCAGAAAGCGATTATTTGGAAGATTTGGGCACAAATAATCGATTTATTGAGAAAAAAATGATCTTATTTTTCACTGTTTTTTGACCCAATTTTTCGACGCATTTTTCCTGTCTTACAGAACATATGGCCAGAAATCGAGTTGAAATGTCTTTTAGGGTCCCTCAGGTGTCTTTCCTGGAAGTTTGGCGCAATTTAATTTTGTGGCCAAAATTGAAAAAAATTCAAGGGGTTAGCCTTACATTTTTCATCAAATTTGGCCAAAAAATGACTTTTCTCCAAACGACGCAGAAATGACTACTGATGCAAGGAGAGTATCATACAATATTCAGACTGCGATTATTTGGAAGATTTGGGCACAAATAATCGATTTATTGAGAAAAAAATGATCTTATTTTTCACTGTTTTTTGACCCAATTTTTCGACGCATTTTTCCTGTCTTACAGCACATATGGCCAGAAATCGAGTTGAAATGTCTTCTAGAGTCCCTCAGGTGTCTTTTCTGGAAGTTTGGCGCAATTTAATTTTTTGGCCAAAATTGAAAAAATTTCAAGGGGTTAGCCTTACATTTTTTAACAAATTTGGCCAAAAAATGACTTTTCTCCAAACGACGCAGAAATGACTACTGATGCAAGGAGAGTATCATACAATATTCAGACTGCGATTATTTGGAAGATTTGGGCACAAATAATCGATTTATTGAGAAAAAAATGATCTTATTTTTCACTGTTTTTTGATCCAATTTTTCGACGCATTTTTCCTGTCTTACAGAACATATGGCCAGAAATCGAGTTGAAATGTCTTCTAGAGTCCCTCAGGTGTCTTTTCTGGAAGTTTGGCGCAATTTAATTTTTTGGCCAAAATTGAAAAAATTTCAAGGGGTTAGCCTTACATTTTTCATCAAATTTGGCCGAAAAATGACTTTTCTCCAAACGACGCAGAAATGACTACTGATGCAAGGAGAGTATCATACAATATTCAGACTGCGATTATTTGGAAGATTTGGGCACAAATAATTGATTTATTGAGAAAAAAATGATCTTATTTTTCACTGTTTTTTGACCCAATTTTTCGACGCATTTTTCCTGTCTTACAGAACATATGGCCAGAAATCGAGTTGAAATGTCTTCTAGGGTCCCTCAGGTGTCTTTTCTGGAAGTTTGGCGCAATTTAATTTTTTGGCCAAAATTGAAAAATTCAAGGGGTTAGCCTTACATTTTTCATCAAATTTGGCCAAAAAATGACTTTTCTCCAAACGACGCAGAAATGACAACTGATGCAAGGAGAGTATCATACAATATTCAGACTGCGATTATTTGGAAGATTTGGGCACAAATAATCGATTTATTGAGAAAAAAATGATCTTATTTTTCACTGTTTTTTGACCCAATTTTTCGACGCATTTTTCCTGTCTTACAGAACATATGGCCAGAAATCGAGTTGAAATGTCTTTTAGAGTCCCTCAGGTGTCTTTTCTGGAAGTTTGGCGCAATTTAATTTTTTGGCCAAAATTGAAAAAATTGCAAGGGGTTAGCCCTACATTTTTCATCAAATTTGGCCAAAAAATGACTTTTCTCCAAACGACGCAGAAATGACTACTGATGCAAGGAGAGTATCATACAATATTCAGACTGCGATTATTTGGAAGATTTGGGCACAAATAATCGATTTATTGAGAAAAAAATGATCTTATTTTTCACTGTTTTTGACCCAATTTTTCGACGAATTTTTCCTGTCCAATAGTACATCTGTCCAGAAATCGAGTTGAAATGTCTTGTAGGGTCCCTCAGGCGTCTTTTCTGGAAGTTTGGCGCAATTTAATTTTTTGGCCAAAATTGAAAAAATTGCAAGGGGTTAGCCTTACATTTTTCATCAAATTTGGCCAAAAAATGACTTTTCTCCAAACGACGCAGAAATGACTACTGATGCAAGGAGAGTATCATACAATATTCAGACTGCGATTATTTGGAAGATTTGGGCACAAATAATCGATTTATTGAGAAAAAAATGATCTTATTTTTCACTGTTTTTGACCCAATTTTTCGACGAATTTTTCCTGTCCAATAGTACATCTGTCCAGAAATCGAGTTGAAATGTCTTGTAGGGTCCCTGTGGCGTCTTTTCTGGAAGTTTGGCGCAATTTAATTTTTTGGCCAAAATTGAAAAAATTGCAAGGGGTTAGCCTTACATTTTTCATCAAATTTGGCCAAAAAATGACTTTTCTCCAAACGACGCAGAAATGACTACTGATGCAAGGAGAGTATCATACAATATTCAGACTGCGATTATTTGGAAGATTTGGGCACAAATAATCGATTTATTGAGAAAAAAATGATCTTATTTTTCACTGTTTTTTGACCCAATTTTTCGACGCATTTTTCCTGTCTTACAGCACATATATCCAGAAATCGAGTTGAAATGTCTTCTAGAGTCCCTCAGGTGTCTTTTCTGGAAGTTTGGCGCAATTTATTTTTTTGGCCAAAATTGAAAAAAATTGCAAGGGGTTAGCCTTACATTTTTCATCAAATTTGGCCAAAAAATGACTTTTCTCCAAACGACGCAGAAATGACTACTGATGCAAGGGGAGTATCATACAATATTCAGACTGCGATTATTTGGAAGATTTGGGCACAAATAATCGATTTATTGAGAAAAAAATGATCTTATTTTTCACTGTTTTTGACCCAATTTTTCGACGAATTTTTCCTGTCCAACAGCACATCTGTCCAGAAATCGAGTTGAAATGTCTTGTAGGTTCCCTGAGGCGTCTTTTCTGGAAGTTTGGCGCAATTTAATTTTTTGGCCAAAATTGAAAAAATTTCAAGGGGTTAGCCTTACATTTTTCATCAAATTTGGCCAAAAAATGACTTTTCTCCAAACGACGCAGAAATGACTACTGATGCAAGGAGAGTATCATACAATATTCAGACTGCGATTATTTGGAAGATTTGGGCACAAATAATCGATTTATTGAGAAAAAAATGATCTTATTTTTCACTGTTTTTTGACCCAATTTTTCGACGCATTTTTCCTGTCTTACAGCACATATGGCCAGAAATCGAGTTG